ACGGGTGGTTTATACAGGTGCTGTTTGGGAGCTCTTTCAATAGCTGGAGTGAAGAGAGGAGAGACCTTGACTGAAAGATTATAAATGAACTCTCTTCAAATCTAACAAAAAGCTTCAATTGTTATAGTGGCAGTGTTTACAAATTGGAAAATTGCGCAACAAGAAAAAGAAACCTTAACATTGCAAATGATTATGTTTGGAATTTAAAAGATCTTAGCAGTAACAGAAAAAAAATTAGAAGAGATTGGAGAATATAGAACCCAGCACAGTAAAATTTGATGGAAAAATTGAGGATGTTTATCAAATGGAAAAAGTGGAGGACAGAGTTCGAAAAATAATCAAAGAAACAAGAAAACTGTTGATATTGATAGTAAACTGAGCCTGGCTGGAAATGAAAAGAGTGGAATATGGAAAGGGGAAATAGATGGACTGGAACTCTATCCCAGACTTCAAAGTACAGAAGAAGAAAGACAGAAAAAATGATGGAAGTAAGGAGAGAAACTTTATGAGAAGCATGAGTGATAACTAAAGATAAGCTGATTGAAGAAGCAAATGGAGGGTTTTGAGTTTACATAAGAAATGAAATGAACAATAACTTCCGAAGAGAAGTCTATATAAGACTTACCAAAAAATTAATCAGAATGCTAATGCTAAAAATGGCAAGAGACATAAGACTGCATTATTACTGGAAAGACACAGGTTGATGTAATGCAAACTAATAATAAACATTAAGTAACATTTAGTTAAATTTAGAGTATTATGTATAAAATGAAGTGATAATGGTTATAGTTAAATAAATGATTGATAAAGATAATAATGCATATATATACATTCCTTTGTTAAGAGAAAATTCTATATAAATTGCAAATGGAAACTATGAAAGGAAGTTTAGAAATTAAACAATCAATTTTTTATTTAGAACATGTTATAAAGATGCAATTTTATTGAAGGACGTTGGGATGAGTTAATGGAATGCCATTATGTGGTTTTGCTTTAAACTGGAATATTTCATATAAAAGGGTGTAAAAACAATTACAGTCAAATGAAGGCTGAGGTATGATGAAAGCAATGTATATAAATACTGCATACCTGATTTAAAAATATGTGATTCGATATGAATTATAGGTGATGACTGTGGAAGGGGATGCATGGAAGTTTTTGTAACCAACTGTCGCCCTTTCTACACTTTGTAATGAAAGATGGTTTTGTGTTTTTTGTTTTTGTCTGTGTTCATTTAAAAAAATATTCAAAAAGAAAAGGAAGAGAAAACAAAATTCCTATGAATTTTTATTTTGTATGGTCATAGAAAGATATATAAGACAAACATCTTTAAATATAGGAGGCTATCTCTTGAGATGAACATTTTTCTGGTCAGAGATTTGTTTATTATTTGTTTTTTTTCCCCCCTGACAATAATGTAAGTGGCAGTCAGATAATGTTCTGTGTATTGCTCTTTTGTGCTGTTTCTTCAGTGACCAGAAAATGCTAACCACACTTGGTATCTATTCTTTCATTGTAACATTTCATTACTTTGCTGGAATTTCTGTTGTTAGGAAAATTTGCCTGGAGTCAGAATAAGTGGAGGCCTTTCCAATTTGTCTTTCTCCTTCCGAGGAATGGAAGCTATTCGAGAAGCAATGCATGGGGTTTTTCTTTTCCATGCAATTAAGGTAATGCGATGGTTTGGACAAAATAGTTTCTGATTGAAAAATACCATTGTAGAAGAAGTTGTAATATCCATTTTGATCCCCCCCCCCCCGTGTTTATTTTCAGCATGGAATGGACATGGGGATTGTGAATGCAGGAAATCTGCCAGTATATGATGACATCCAAAAGGAACTTTTACAGTTGTGTGAAGATTTGATATGGAATAAAGATCCAGATGCAACGGAAAAACTTTTGCATTATGCTCAGGTTACATTTTTCCTAAATTATTTTTCATATGCACAAGTTAACTTTTAGACATGAATGCTGAAAGCCTGAAGAGTTGCTTTGTGAATTAGTGGTTTAGTGGTTTAGTGGTTTATTAGCATTTGTAGGCCGCC